AGAGGGAGATCAACAGAACGTGTTCAAAGCAGCAGTCACAAACATGGTAGATTGAAGTCAAGAAGCAAGAATAATTTAAAGTGCTACACCTGTGGAAAGAATGGTCACTTGAAGAAGGATTTTTGGAGTCTAAATAAAAACTCCAATCCACAAGGCAATACCGCAAACACTTCAGAAGATGGAGATGCTCTATGTTGTGAAGCTTCAACCACCGTGGAAGGTAGAAAGAGATATGCAGATATATGACTCATTGATTCGGAAGCAATATATCACATGACCTCAAGAAGAGAATGGTTTCATCATTATGAACATGTCTCAGGAGGATCTGTGTATAGTTGCAATGATAATGCCTTAGAGATCGTTGGCGTGGGAACCATCAAATTGAAGATGTATGATGGAACAATTAAAGTTGTTCGAGATGTGTGGCACGTGAAAAGCCTGAAGAAAAATTTATTATCCTACGGATTGTTGGATAATAATGCAAGCAAGATTGAAACACGGAAATGAATCATGAAGGTGTTCCGTGGAGCGCTTGTGGTGCTGAAAGAAGAAAATATAGCTACAAATTTGTACATGCTGAAGGGAGAGACTTTGCTAGAAGCAGAAGCCTCTGTTGCCTCATGTAGTTCGGATTCTGCAATGCTATGGCATCAGAAACTTAAACACATGTCAGAACAAGGAATGAAAGTTCTTGTGAAGCAAAAACTACTTCCAAGCTTAACAAAGGTAACACTTCCTTTGTGTGAGCATTGCATAACAAGTAAGAAACACCGGTTGAAATTCAACACGTCAAATTCTAGAGGCAAAAGTGTTCTAGAATTGGTTCATTCTGACGTATGGCAAGCACCAGTTACATCCCTAGGTGGAGCAAAATATTTTGTAGCATTTATTGATGACTACTCCAGGAGATGTTGGGTGTACCCTATTAAGAAGAAGTCATATGTGTTTTCAACTTTCAAAATCTTCAAAGCGAGAGTGGAACTTGATTCTAGAAATAAGATCAAGTGTTTCAGAATAGATAATGGAGGAGAGTACACAAGTAAAGAATTTGATGACTTTTGCAGGAAAGAAAGACAGTTCACAGTGGCGAACACTCCTCAACAAAATGGAGTGGTAGAGCGGATGAACAGAACCTTGTTAGAAAGAACAAGAGCAATGTTGAGGGATGCATGCCTAGAAAAATCATTCTGGGCAAAAGCAGTCAATACTGCCTGTTATTTGGTGAATCGAGCTCCATCAACTGCAATAGAGCTGAAGACACCAATAGAGATGTGGACTGGTAAACCAGCTGATTATTCAAACCTCCATGTATTTGGAAGTATTGTGTACGTGATGTACAACTCCCAAGAAATCTCAAAGCTGGATCCAAAATCCAGGAAATACAAATTCTTGGGGTATGCTGATGGAGTCAAGGGGTATCGCGTTTGGGATCCCACTGCCCGCAAAGTGATCATCAGCAGGGATGTTATCTTTATAGAAGATAAGCTTCAAAGAAAAGAAGAATATGGTAGCGCTGAAAAGTCAGAGACTACACAGATACATGTGGAAAAGGAGTTTGAACAAGGAGATTCTTTTGAAGCAGAACCAGCACATGATGAACAAGAACCAGAGAGTTCTAAAGCTCCAACAACTCGTCAATCAGATCGTGTGAGAAGACATCCTAATTGGCACTCATATAATGTTATTGAAGGTAATATTGTATACAGTGAGCCATCAATATACCAGGAGGCAATAAACAACTCAGATGCTTCACTATGGATGATGACAATGCAAGAGGAAATTGAAGCCCTTCATAAAAATAATACATGGGACCTTGTGCCACTACCACAAGGAAGGAAGCCAATTGGTAACAAATGGGTCTTCAAAATCAAGTGAAATGGTGACGATCAAGTTGAGAGGTATCGTACAAGACTGGTGGTCAAAGGATATGCTCAAAAAGAAGGTATTGATTTCAATGAAATATTTTCTCTTGTGGTTCAACTAACAATATTTCGAGTAGTTTTGGCAATGTGTGCTACATTGAACTTACATCTAGAGCAGCTAGATATTAAAACAGTTTTTCTTCATGGAAATCTTGAATAAGAGATTTACATACTCCAGCCTGAAGGTTTTGAAGAAAAAGAAAAGAAGAACTTGGTTTGCAGATTGAACAAATCTATGTACGGTCTAAACCAGGCGTCGAGGTGTTGGTATAAGAGATTTGATTCCTTTATTATGTGCCTTGGATACAACAGACTTAATGCAGACCCTTGTGCTTATTTCAAGAGGTCTGGTGATAACGATTTTGTTATATTGTATTGTATGTGGATGACATATTGGTTACATGACCTTAACAAATATCATATTGAAGAATTGAAGGCACAACTGGCTAGGGAATTTGAAATGAAGGACTTGGGATCAATAAACAAGATTCTAGGGATACAATTTCATCGGGACAGAAGTAATAGAAAGATTTTGTTTTCACAAAAGAATTACTTGAAGAAGATCTTGTCACGATTCAGCATGCAAGATTGTAAGCCAATTTCTACCCCTCTTCCTATTAACTTCAAATTATCCTTCAGTATGAGTCCTAGCAGTGAAGAAGAGATGATGGAGATGTCTCGAGTATCGTATACATCAACAGTGAGAAGTTTAATGTTCGCTATGATATGCACAAGACCAGATATTGCACAAGCAGTGGGAGTGGTTAGTCGGTACATGGTGAATCCAGGCAAAGAGCATTGGAATACTGTAAAGAGGATCCTGAGATACATCAAAGGGACCTCAAATGTTGCATTATGTTACGGAGGATCAAACTTACTAATCAATGGGTATGTAGATTCTGACTATGCAGGAGATTGGATAAAAAACAAATCTACTACATGATATGTGTTCAAAGTTGTTGGTGGAGCTGTAAGCTGGGTTTCGAAATTACAGCCAGTTGTGGCTACATCCACAACAGAGGCAGAATATGTAGCAGCTACACAAGCCTGTATAGAAGCAATTTGGTTGAAGATGCTATTGAAGGAGCTTAGGCACAATCAAGAGTATGTCTCTCTGTTTTGTGATAGTCAAAGCGCATTGCATCTAGCAAGGAATCCAGCATTTCATTCAAGAACAAAAAACATACGGGTTCAGTACCATTTCATTCGTGTAAAGGTGGAAGAAGGGACAGTAGATATGCAGAACATCTATACCAAAGACAACATAGCAGATTTCATGACGAAGGCGATCAACACTGATAAATTTACCTGGTGTCGATCATCCTGTGGCCTGTCAGAGACGTAAGCAACATGAAGGTACAAGGTAGAAAGAGTGGTGTGAAGATATGATTATTCCAATCAAATCTTCAAGTGGGAGATTGTTGAAAGTCAAAGGAAGAAAAACGGTGCATTAATGCACCTAATCCAAACGGTGGAAATGTCAAAATTAGGTGAAAATGGTTGAAAATTAAATGGGCAAATTATAAACTTTAGTCACTAAACTTTAGGGTATTTACAAATTAGTTCTTAAGCTTCAACTATAAATACCCTAGCTCATTTAGCTTCAAAACCATCCCAAATCATTCTAGCTTTCTTCCAATACTAGAGAGAATTTAGAGAGTTTCTTGAGAGTTGTTTTCTTCTTTTTATCAAAAGAGAATTATCATTGTTTTCTCCTTGGTAGATAGAGAGAATTTGTAATTCCTATTTTCTCATAGTGAAATTCTTCTACCGTTTCCCGTGGTTTTTACCCTATATTATTTAGGGGTTTTCCACGTAAATTTTGTGTCTCTTTTATCTTCATTTTTATTTTCTCAAATTATTAGTTGTGATTTTGCTCTATCCGATAGTCGTCTTCCGTAACATATAAGTGTTATTTCGAAAGAGTTTTTGTTTCAAATGTTTCTTTATTTTATATTCTTAGTTAGTTTTAAAATTTCCGTGTACATTTAAGGATAGGTCAAACTTTGTGTGTAATCCTTGTATTTTACTCAACTCAAAGCATTACCCATGTTATATGAAATACGTATGGAGTTTGAGACTTGAGAGTCATATAATTATTAGAGTTAAGGTTAGGTACTTGGGAGAGAGGTAGTGATTAATAACTGGCACTACAACAAAACAGGTTTTTTGCGGCGTTTTTTTTACCTTTAGCGGCGGTTATAAGCATCGCTAAAAACACATGCGACTTTAAGACAAACGCCGCAAAAAGCGCCGTTAAAAATAGTGCCGCTAAAGTTCGCGGCGTTTTAAAAACAAAAAACGCCGCAATAGGTATTGATATTTAGCGGCGTTTGTGTGACAAACGCCGTAATAGGTGTTGATATTTAGCGACGTTTGTCAGAAAAATGCCGCAATAGGTATTGATATTTAGCGGTGTTTTTTAGATAAACGCCGTAGTAGGTGTTGATGTTTTTCGGCGTTTTCCCACAAACGCCGCAGTAGATTTTGATGTTTTGCGGCGTTTATTCCACAAACGCCGCAGTAGGTTTTGATGTTTTGCGGCATTTTTCTCACAAACGCCGCAATAGGTATTGATTTTTTTGGCGTTTTTGCTAAAAACACCGGTAAAGTTCTGTATATAGCGGTGTTTCTAGGATACAAACGCCGCTAAATGTATGATATATTACGGCATTTTTTGTTACAAACGCTGCTAAATAACATATAATTAACATTCCTAAAAATTATGCTTGATTACCCCAAAACTGTTTTTTCAACCTGTTCCATTATCCAACAAACAAAATAATAATAACATCAAACTCTATATCCATAACAAACAACATAAAATCCAATATAATAAATAAAAGTTTTCATAAAACGTAATATAAGTCCAGTTAAACAAGGTTCAGTAGAATGCTCGTAACATAAATGAGACTACGATGGTGGATTATGAGGTTGCGTTTTCTGAATCATCAGCATCATATCATTGAGTCTTTTTTCAAATTCTTCACATCTCTATTGATATGTTGTTTCTCTTTGTGTTGCCGCTGCTTCTCTCTATGCTGTCGTTACTTCTCTTTGTGCTGCCGTTACTTCTTTATCTGCTTTTGCTGCTGCTCTAGCTGCTTCTGTTGCTGCTCTCTCTGCTTCCCTTGCTTCATTTTCCGCTTTCAAGTTAGCCATTTGTTGATCCATCTAAGCCAACTTTTCTTTTAAACAACAAACTTCTTGGTGGGAAGATCGAGACTGTGATGACATGTACTGTGATGAACTGGATCCAAAATATTTGGTGGGAGTAATGAATGATCCTTGATAGCGTACCCGACCATATCTTTCAGGACCCAAAACGTCATTAATAGCTTGGTTTTCAATGTCATCATCATTAACAATACCTTGACTCGAAGCAGTAACATGATACTCCGCCTTTTTCTCCCTCAATGTTTCCTAATAAAGTGAATAATTAATTAAAATAAAAAATGTCATTCTACAAATATAAATAAATTCAGGTAAATTTAAAACATCTACCCAAAAAACGTACTATACTTTCTGCAGTGTCAGCAGTCATAGGAGTGACATCCTTCTTCGTATGTGTCATGTCGAAGAGTTGGATTCGACCAACTTTAGAACCGAATGTATTTTCCTACAATGTACCATAATATAATTACTATGAGTTAGTATGTACATGGAAAATATCATAAAAACTATTTCAATAATCTATAATACCTCCAAATGAGCTATACAAGCAAAACTCTTCGATCCAGCCATGTGCGTAAACTTTTGTTGTTGCCTGCTAGCAACACCAATATGCTCTCGGTCCTACAATGTCAAAAAACCACTTTTAATGATGATTTACAATTCGTTACAATTATTTCTGAAAAATACATCATACATGTCCTTTTTGTGAACTCCAAAATCTGACTGCATCTTCTCATTGGTACCTGAGCATTCCTGGTGGGACTGTTTGCAACTTCTCTTCAAGGCTGAGATCATTCTTGAAGTATTTCTTCTTTAAGGAGCTCTTGTGATCCCTCCATCTCTTCCCTAACGTTTTCTTCACATAATCATCAGAGACCTCTAAAGAAAATTTCTCCTATACAGTAAATAAGTGTGCACCGTAAGTATAAATTAGTATTGAATTTCTATAGAGTATGTATTATAATGACATTATTACCTTAACAAAATCCAATGCTTGATTTTTGTTACTATTAGGCATTTCGCGCCATGACTCGTAATTGATCGGTAAAAGATTCGTATTACGTCCAACTATGCCTAAGTAACCTGCTAGAAGACGTGATTCTGGGCCAATAGGTTGACCGACTTCGTTTCTTGAAACTTTGACACGATGCCCATGAGGAAGTTGGTATAATTCCTTCAAAGTTGTACGTCCTCAAGTCTTGCGTGTTCCAGCATTTTCAACTATATAAGAAATTATTAAATGTCAGTTTTGAAAATGAACAAAGTAGTAAATAATGTTTCAAAGATTACTTTGAATTTCTACGTCTTCTTCAACAGTTTCCGGAACTTCGGAAGACTCAGGTGCATTCAATTCCTCGTTATTTATTTCTTCATGGTCTTCAGAAGCTCGAACAACACGCAAATCATTTATTTTTCTCTTCGGCATGATATCTATAATAAAAAAACATGAGTAATAAAAAAATGAATTAATTAATGAATATATTAAAAAACAACATGTTAAAGGTTATAACATTATAAATAAATAAATTAAGATATAAAATCATACAAAAGTCTTATATAATGTCAGTTGTCATAAATATCTTCATCAACGTCCTCCCGAACCCATTGAAATTGTGTTGTATTACTGATAGTTTCATCTAAGTTTTGTGGTAGTAGAGGTAAACTTTCTGATCTTGTTTCAATGTCGTCTCTACTTCCATCCCCGATATATATCAAGTCTCTGGGAGTATTTCGAAGCACAACATACCAACCGTCATTCATTGGATCATGACAATAAAATACTTGTTTCACTTGAGAAGAAAATACATATGGTTCATCCATCAAACGTTGACCCGTGTGAATTAATCGAGAGAAATTCACCATTGTAAACCCGAATTTATCTCTTTTTATACATCTGTTTACATCAACCCAGTCACACCGAAACAACACAACCTTTCGTTTTCCATAATAATCTAACTCAATAATGTCTGTAAGATTTCCATAATAATCGACCTCTCCCTCCTGTAGATTATTGTCCCTTACAGTAGCATAACTTGTAGTTGACGAAGTAACTACTACTCCACAATTTTGTGTCCTTCTTAATCTTTCACGAGATTTTGTGTGGAACCTGAACCCATTAATGAGGAATGCATTATATCTTTTAACTATTCTATTCGGACCTTGAGAAAGCCATTTAACTTCTTCACTAACTTCTCTCCCACTCCAAACCTATTACACATGAATGGTGAATTAATTTGTATTGACGTCGATATAAAAAGCAAGACATATATAATTTATAAGTGTTCCGTAAGATTTAGTTGCTTACCGTCTGGCCTAACTATTCATGAAAAGTTTCTGTGAATAACTTATGTAGCTCTCGCTGATTTAATCTTCTGGAGCGTACTCGAGATCTCAATACTTCTTTAAACTCACTATAAAGAATATTATGTCGTTAAAAATTGATAAATATAAAAGATAAAGAGATTTCATTAAGATTGGGTCTAAAAGACTTACGTGCGAAAAGGATCTATTGAATCGTGATGGAAAAGAACATATCGATGTGCTTGTACCCAAGACGTGTCATCTAAGTGTGCAATTTCAACTTTCCCTAATGGTTGACCATAACTTCCAAAGAAATAATGTTGAGGTAAGTCATTAGTACTTAACACATCATTTTCGGTTTGGTCTATTCCATCTTGTTTCAACATCTTCCAAATAGCTAGAGCAAAATGTCATACATTCCTCTGCCAAATACCCTTCAGCAATTGATCCTTCCGGATAACGCTTATTACGACAATAAGACTTCAACTTGCCCAAGAACCTATACACAAAACAACATACTACGTAAATACATTTGAGTAAGAGGTATAATCAGTAGTAATTTGAAACGTGTAATTCAAATAACACCTCTCTATAGGGTACATCCATCGATAGAAAACTGGACCACCAACTCTTGCTTCGTGAGGAAGATGAATTAGCAGATGCACCATAATTGTGAAGAATGAAGGTGGAAATATCTTCTCCAAGTTGCATAAAGTCAAGGCAACTCGATCTTGTAGTTTATCAAGTTCTTCAACCATTAGAACTTTCCCACAGATGGCTTTCATTATATTAGAAAGTTCAATGATACAAGACGTCACCTTACTCAACATGCAACCGCGAATAGCTACTGGCAGTAAATCTTGCATTAATATATGATAATCATGTGACTTTAAACCATAAAGTCTTCGATCTTTAACACTGACACATCGAGAAATGTTTGATGCATACCCATCTGGGACTTTTATATCCTTCAACACCATGCAAAACACTTTTTTTTTCTTCGAAAGAGAAAAAATAGAAGGCGGCAAGAAATTTCTTTCATTTGGACGTAATTGCGGATGAAGATCATGCCGAATTCCCATGTCCACTAAGTCAAGTCGACTCTTAAGATTATCTTTAGATTTTCTGCCATCATTCAGAATGGTCCCGATAATATTCTCATAAACATTATTCTCAATATGCATTACATCAAGATTATGTCTCAAAATCTACTTTTTCCAATAAGGCAACTCGAAAAATATACTCCTTTTTTTCCATAAGTCTACCTCGTTTGGATCATCCTCTTCATCAGACTCATCATCAGTTTGTTCGTCAACTTCAACCTCTTCATTGACTTGCTTTGCCTTTTTCTTTGATTGTGCACTACTTGGTTGATTCATCTTTCCATAAGTAAAATTGATATTTTTCAACATTCTGAATATTTGAGAGCCGGTTGTTTGGTCAGGAGCATGTCGAAACTCTTCATCACCATTAAACATATTCTTTTGACTTCTAAATATATTATTATTAGCTAACCACCGACGATGTCCCATATAAGAGAACTTCTTTCCATTAACCAACCACTTCGAACATGTTTCTACAGTACAACAAGAACAAGTGTAATGACCTTTGGTACTCCAACCCGATAAATTTGCATACGCATGAAAATCATTAATTGTCCATAATAAAGTCGTGCGTAAATTAAAGTTATCCTTCGTTAACACATCATACGTTTCGACCCCTTCCCATAACTATTTCAACTCTGCAATTAGCGGCTGCATGTAAATTTCAATATCATTTCTGGGGCCTTTCTCGCCGGGGATTATCATGGATAAGATGAAAGATTATTGTTTCATGCAAATCCAGGGAGACAAATTATATGGAACAAGTACAACAGGCGAAGTACTATACGAAGTACTCATGATTTTGAATGGATTAAACCCATCAGTTACAAGACCGAGCCTGACATTTCGAGGATCTCTCGTAAAACTTGGATACTTGTTGTCAAATGACTTCCAAGCTAAAGAATCCGCTGGATGCCGTAATAATCCATCATTGGTTCTGCCATCATGATGCCACCTCATAGACTCAGCAGTCTTGGAGGATATAAACAATCCTTGTAGCCTAGGTATGAGAGGAAAATATCGCAGAATCTTAATCGATTCTTTTCTTGATCGTGCTTGAGCTTCATCCTCAGTAACATTTTCTGCCTCCCTAATCATCCATCGAGATTTTCCACATACATGGCAAGAGTCCTGATTTTTTCGATCACCCCAATACAACATACAATCATTCGAACAACTGTGAATTTTGTCATATCCAAGACCCAAATCTTTTATTATTTTCTTCATATCTTTGCATGATTGAGGGATTTTTGCAAAATGAAACACTTCTCCTAGTAACTCCAACAATTGCGTAAAGAAGTTACCAGTCCACCCTCCCAGGCATTTTAAGTGGAAAAGACGAATGCAGAAAGAAAGCTTTGAAAACTTTGATCCCTCATAAAGTTGTTCATTCATTTCATTCAGCAACTTGTAAAACTTTTCCGCTTCTCCATTTGGCTCTTCAGCACTTCCAATTCTTCCCATCTCAATGAAATCATTAACATCATTCTGACAATAATTTTTTGAAAC